CCGGGTGGGTGAAGCCCGCGGGGCTGCGCGCACGTGCGGGGCTGCGCAGGGACCCCGGAGCCACGCACGGGAGGTGCCGGCTGCCGCCTGGGTTTGTCCTCGGACGGCACTTTGTGCGTGACGCTGGCTGTGTGTGCAGCTATTCGCACAACTGGCTCCAGAGCACAAATTTGGGATTTTTTAAAATAAATATTTGAAAGAAAGATAAGTGAATTACCCACTTTAGAATAGGGTGCAAGTGGGCAAGAGAAACAGGTTAATACAAGTAGAGATTAAAGCTCTCCCTTTTTAGTATCCCCAAAGGTTGACCATAGTTTGCATCCCTCCAGCAGCGGTGGGAGCGCACAAGACCCGCGCTGGCTGGGAGCAGTGAAATCCTATCTACCTGTGCAGCAACAACTATTTTAATACCTATAAATAGCTTGGGGGTAGGCACATTAACAGACTTACCAGGCATTAAAGCAGAAATTATATTCCATATTGCACAGTGAGCAGCTGCAGAGGCAACACTGTCATTGGGCAGGGTTGAACATTACTGACCGTTACGAAAAAGGAAGATGCACTTCTTAGTATTTCATTAGACTTGCTTGTCAGATGTCCTCTCCCCTGTGCCTCTCTGCCACAGTTGCATCATTCCTTTTGTTAATACCGTTTACATTTGTTTGCAAAGGTAGTTCTAGTAAGTGATGAGACACCAGAAGCGATAGCAACCGCCAGTCTTTGAGAAAGGAATGTTGTCGTGGCCAGCTCTGTTTTATTGCTGCTGATGTAGTTGGAAAACAGTCCATACCCCATGTGGTTAAAAAAAATGGGAAAAGCTCTTCCCAGCCATTCAGAATTTGGCCTGGCTTCCTGAAAGATGTAAATGTGTTAAACAGCTGGCTCTGTGACATTGGACACACTGGTCTGTAGACTAGGAATGAGGTTTCACTGGCAAAGGAAAGACTGACACTGCCGACGTCCTACGTGAGAGCTGCATTTGTGGAAGAGGCTGAAGTCCAGCCCACATGAGGTAAAGCCCAGCTGTGCTGTGGAGTCATCTGCTTGGGATTCCAGGCGTAGACATCAGCGCCCAACTAACTGCTGTATAAACATTTTGCCCATTATCTTGTGTGCTAAAAGAATTCTGCACGTTTCCATCAGCCAGAGGTGCAAGCCAGTCTAACAACAGCTTCTCTGCCTATTCACGCAACCCACAATATTTTACCTGGGAGTAAGAAGCCAGTGGCACACGTTCTGCATCTCTAGGCTCATGACAAAGGAGCACGGTGGGGATTAACTCCACCTCCTCCTTAACAACAGGTATAAATGGCAGCATGTTGACTTCTCTCTTTTCATTCTATACTTACGCAGGAAGGCACTGTACTTCTTTAAAGAAGTTCCGTATCACAAAAGCACCTCAGTGAAAAGTACTGCACCAAAGCAGGTGATGGTGAAACAGTCACAGGAGGGTAGCCCTTGGGAACAAAACCTGATTCAAATAGGCTTCTCCTTCTTTATGTAAGAAAAATATCTTGGCTTTTTTAATCTTAAATCCAAATTCATCAGAGTGACCAAGGTGGATAAGGCAATCGGATCAAACAGAATTTGTCAGTTCTATAACAACACTCCTGCTATATACACGTGTTTCCTCATCACTCCCCCCAGTCTGATTAATATATATCCACTTAATCCTGATACGATAATGAAACTAAAGAATTCCCAAGTATTTACATCCTCTTTTCCTGGGATCCTCTCTCTGCTCCTCATTGCCCTGCAAGGAAGTAAAATTGCTTCAGGAGGTGATGAGGGGGGCTGCAGTGCATGGGGCTCGATCACACAAATGGGTAAGCAGGGAAGTGAATCTGCTCCTTGAGTCCCTGGCCAGCAGATGAAGATCCAGGCACTGGTGTTTTCCCCCCTGCATTTAGAGGAGGCAGATAAGGTTTTTCCCTTCTTCTATTTCTTCTTGCACTTTGTCGCTGGATGTGGCGATTTCTGCTTGTGCAGAGAAGACAGCACAGATGAAGGTGAGCACGGTGCCCCCGATGGCTGTGTAGAAGGCCCAGCCCAGCGAGCAGTCTCCCAGTTTGTAAGCAGAAGCATAGTGTCCGCAATAGCTGATGGCCTTCTGGCATCCCCAACCTGCAGGGTAAAGTATCAAGCCTAAGATAAGGAAGAGGCCTAAAAATAAAAACAAAAAGGACAGTTTTAACACCAAGCGGTCAGTTAAACACTAAATGCAACACGTTTAGTTGTGGTTGTAACAATTATTACTCATCACAAGTCCCCTCCGGGTAATAAAACCGAGAAAAGAAGATCCTTTCTAATCCACCCACCCTTCACTGACCGTTCCCCAGAATACACTGAGTATAAACTACCTAAACATTGCACTATTACTACCATTTTGCTTGTGGGAGGTTTATGCCATTTCAGTCTTTGTTCACAGTTTCCATCCTTCTGTTTGTTCTGCATCCTTTGCTCCCAAGCAGTATGGCTAGCTAGCTGTACACGGACTGCAGAACGTTTGCATTCTCTCTACCTACTGTTTAGACTTGCACTTTCAAATACTTAGGCATGTTTGCAGCTACTTGTGAGTCCTTATTTAGCAACCCACATTCAGCTTTATTATGCACTGTAAACATTTTTTTTGCTTTTTTTCTCTCAGACTCCCTAGATTGATTTTTCTTGCCTAGGAAAAGCAAGCAAGGGAAAAAAAAAAAAACACCAATCTCCTGGTGCATCTCCAATCTCCCAGTGCATCTGCTTGTTTGGCCATGAGAGTCAGACCATACAGCAATGCCACAGGCTTCTCCCACAATGACGGGATTCTGGACTCGGCCACGAGCGGGTTGACGTGGCCCCAGCTCAGGCCCAAGGGCTGCTCTGCTGCTGCACGAGTGCTGAAGGAAGGAAAGGGCTGTGAAGGGAAGGGCCCTTCAGGGTGGTGGGCGCAGGAGCCGCCTCTCCCTGGCTCCTGGAGCGAGGTGGTGGTTCTGCGCCACAAACTCCTTTAGTCGTCCCTGTGTGAGGGAGGGAGCTGGTAACTTTAGAAGAGCTGGTGCTACAATCCGGAAGTGGGCCAGAAGTTGCGCTTTTTTACGTGCGATGCCATTTTGTTCCTAGATTTCAGCCAATCCCAAAATTTGTACTACGCAATAAAATCAAAAGCAGTCTTTGTTTCTTCCTCAAACTACAAGATTCCTAGAACAGCTGTGCAGACGTGTTCCCATCTTCGTGACTTGGTGAGCGTGGTATGTACTTCTGCAGTACACTGGATTTCCTTCATTGCTGAAAGAAATTCAACTGGATGCAAAAAAAAGTCTGTCACTCTGAGCAGAAGACTGGAGCTCGCTGTTAACATCCACAAAATGCAGAGCACAGCACCTAACTGTCTAAGACTGTCTGTAAGTGCCAGGTCTCTCACAAAAGAAAGTCCCTCCCCAGCATTTTGCTGATGATGACAGACCAACATGTGCATGAATGAACTAAATGTCATTCTTTGGGGCAGCAAAATCCATTAGAGAACAACATCCGCTCCATGGGCAGGGATTTCAGCACTGTTTACATTTATCAACCAGTGACAAATTTTATGCGGTGCTTCCTGTGTGACCGGCTGGAGCGTGTTAAGCCTAAAGTGCTGCTTTAGCTTGGGCAGAGCTGGGTAAGCCGTGCTCTCACCCCCCGCTGTACCCAGCGGCCGGCCCAGACTAAACACCAGGGGCTCCTCTGCCCCATCTGTCACGCGCTTCCTGCACGTGGTGAGCAGCATGACCACACAACGTGTTCTTCTGACTGAACACTCCTTCCTTCCAGTTGCCATTTTCTCTTAATGATCACCGGTCCTTTGTAATTAAGGTCTCCATCACTGAAGGGGCAAGCCTGTCCTGAAACACCGCAGTGGCTGCTGCTGCCCAGGCAGTTTTTAAGCTTTCCCAGCCCAACACTAGAGCAGCCAGGAACGCTCCAGACGCAATCCCCAGAGACGGGGAGAGGCGCCTGCCTATGGGTTGCACTAAGGCTGACATTGCCTGCGGCTGTCGAGCCAATACCTCTAAGTCACCTAAGTGCCGCCACAGGTGGGAACTTCAGGATCTCCGTAGCGGGCTGAGCGCTCCAGCCGAGCCCAGTGCCGGTGCTCGTGACCCGGAGCGCAGACACGCCAGGAGCAGAGGCGCAGGGAAACACCCGTCAGGAGGGAACAAGGGAAGCCCTATCATTGGGGTAGCAAGTGCAATGGGGCTTGTGACAACACCGGGAAGGGCAAGGGCAGCATGGTGGGGTGCAGCGGGTAAATGCAACAGGAGCATCTCTTCTGGCCCTGGCGCACAGGACATCTGGCCAGGTCCTACTGCAGCCTACTGATCTGCACGTGAGAAGCTGATCTCTGTCAACTACTATAATTAACAAGCCTCAGATTTCTTGACTTTGTTTCAGCTAGCCTTCAGTTTAACTCATTAAATATTAATTCTCTATTTAATCTGCATTATGCAGCTTCTAAGGCATTTAATGCTGTCTGTTGATTAAAGCATTAAGGCTTTTGCTACTCATAGAAGTACAAAGTTCATTTTTGTGTTGTATAATTTTATGTCAGCATGATCTAATAAAGCAGCCGTTAGCTCTTGTCAACAGTTTGCTCTGGAGTTTGCATCTGGCAGCAGGGGAGCAGATATTAATGATAATGATTTCTCCTTCTTAATAAATCAGTTTTGCTCCCATCCCACCGTGCTCCTTGGCAGTGCCGAGGATTAAATCCGTTGGGGATTTAACCCATCCTGGCAGAGCTACACAGCTCTGAGGGCAGCTTGTGCTCCAACATCCTCCTTAATCACTATGATGACTTTTCACAATTATTTTTCCTTCTTGTTGGTTGTGGTTACCTTTCCTCTGGGGATTTGAGAAAACAGAGGTCTCTGAGAAGGCTTTGCAGAGCAGCCACCTGCCTATGAACAAGAGCAGAAAATTGCTTAAATGGATTTTTTTATCCAGGCATCTCAACTACTTGGCTACAGGCTACTATTTGGTGTTAGCCTGTTGGCAGAGAACGTTTTCTTGTGTTTCACTGGAGCATATTTTAACATGTAACATATTATTACATCTGTCCCCATTGTCAGCTTTTAAAAAAAGACCTTAAGAAACAAGAGGCCAATGTATTTAGACTACTAGACTAAAATAGACTTCCTCACTACAGCATAGAGAGCCTATTAAACATTTGCTTTATTGTAACTGAGTGATGTAAAAGCACCTCCTTTCTACTGACAGGCTAAGTGGGAGCCCAGCAGAAACCAGGGCTGTGGGAGGAGGTTTCTCCCAGCCAGGCGGTCTGGGCGACGGCGGAACCCAGCGAGCGGCTCCCTCGCTGGGGACGTCTGTCGCCCCACGCGCGGCAGTGCTGCACGCGGCGCCCACGAAGAGCCTCTCATGGCAGCCCCAGGCGCCACCCCGAAGCAGCGGGTTGCACAGATGCTTGTTTAGATGAGTGAAGGCGGCTATTTAGTTCTGACAGATGCTGCTATGCCATATTAAACCACAGAATATACTAACAACAAAGCTGATTTCCATCTTGAAACTATCTATCTCCTCAGTTCCTAGCAAAAGAAAAAGAAAAAAGAAAAAAAAAGCTCAGAGGAGCCGGGGGAGCCGGCGCAGGTGCCGCAGCGATGCCGCTGCTACTCACCTCTGCTGCGCTGCGGCAGGGGGACTCGTCAGCTCACAGTCATTCAGCAAAGCAGGGCTGCCCCCATGGCCCAAGGTCATGAATCCAAACCTGTCAATACGCTGACCAACTATCCAAACACTTTCATGCTTGGATTATTTCTACAAATGCACTGAACTGGCACAACCCAAGACGACTAAGCTGTTTTTCCATATGCACAAACTTTCCCAGGTCACCCATAGCTGCAGATGGTTTTACGCCTTCAGTCCCTCGCAAACCAGCTGGGTGTCAGGCTGCTGCTCAGCAGTTACACAACGGGCATCTTCAGCCTCGCGAAATGAGTTAGAAACCATTTAATCTGATTCAAGTGGATGAGATGAGCTCAGAGCAGCTGGTCACAGATATGGGGAAAATGATATGGGGGAGAAAAAAAAAGCATGGGCATCTCCCACAGCGCTGCAGTGCTGCTGGCGCACTGAGGGGCGCGCTGGCCATGACAACCGCCACAGTTAGCGCCACAGCCACCAGAGCCGCCTCCACAGCCACCTCCACAACCGCCACAGCCACCTCCACAACCGCCACAGCCGCCTCCACAACCGTCACAGCCACAGCTGCCACAGCTGCCTCCACAACTGCCACAGCAGCCTCCACAGTCACCTCCACAACCGCCCGTGGTCCCTCCAGATCACTGCCAGCTGACCAGAGGCAGAAAGATATTTGCCGAAGAGCAGGGAGAGTTGGGAAGCCAAAAATCAATGCAGCCTCTGGCCCATTCAGAACCTCTTCAAAACAGCGAGGCAAAAATTCACAAGAGTAGAGCAAAACATCACAACAACAAAAAGGTCAATGATTAGCAAAGCCTAGCCTGACATTACACTTAATTCTGGTTCACAAAAGCAGAAGGGACTGGGTTAACTTGGAAACATTGCTGCTGAGGGCAGAGGAGGCTGCCAGCTGGCAGTGTGCGGAGAAACCGGAATCTACCCAAGCAGCAGGGATGAAAAGAGGCAAGATCCAGACCCATTTATCACTGTAGCAGTGCACAACCAGACACAGGTTTCTGTATACCTGGAATACCCTGAGCTCAGGGCAGCAGAATAACCAGGTGGTTTCTCAAAACCTGCAGATTTTTTTCCCAAGCCTTTTAAAGTTGTCCTGAGGTCATATAAGGGCAAGCCGCTATCAGAAGGAAAAGCCTTTCCAAAACCACTCCTACCCTCAAATTAAGGAGCACAAACAAACAAAACCCTATTCTTACAAATAGAAAAGTAACTAAGCCATTTTTTTCAGAGATACTTCCCCATTTACTTAGCAGATCAGAGATACTTGTTCATAATGAAACATACATACACATAAAACTTGTGATGACATTATGGACATGAGGTGTGGAAATACGGATGGGAACACAGGGCAGGGCACCTGTGTGACAGGAAGGCACAAGGAGAGGCTGCTGATGGGGTACGGCGCCTGCTGTGGCTGACAGGTACACGCACATACTCCCAGAGGAAGCCAAGAGTAGGTCAGGCTA